CCAGGATGGGTATGGTTCCTACTAGTAAATCGTGCTGGGAAGTTAGGGTTTTAAGGTAATGATTTTTAGTGACTGTTAGTGTCTATTTTGATATTTGTGCAAAGACATTACAGAAAGATGCTACATGTACACATTTGAAGAAAAGTGAAAATAACTTGCATCTTGCAGAAGGCTATATCTCAGAAACTGAAGTTGTAAAGTTTTCTGTTGAAAAAAAAGAGTACTTGATGGCATTTGACCCCGAGATTCCAACGGAGGACGTGGCAAGAATATCCAGAACACTCTGCAGGAGGGCACAGTGTCTCTTTCCAATGAAGCTCCAGTGATGCTTTACATGATTGAAGCCATCCCCTTTATTGTGGGGTTGAAAAGGATTCCAAGGTGCCCTTTTAATATAGCAATAATTGAATAAGATACCTGTGCAGTCATCAAGATCCACCCAGAATTCCTGAGGAATTGTTTCTGTAATCAAAGACCAATAGGCGTATAAGAAACTGATTGAAAGAAAATGTTTACATTATTTAAAAAAAACGATGAGGAACAAAATCACTGTTTTCTCAAGGAAATCAAGTAAGCTGTTTATTTGGCCTACCCCTAAATTTCTTCGTTACCCATTACCCCCAATATGAACTCCCTCATGCGGCCATGGCACCCATTTAAAGCGCATGTTTACTCTTGGAATTTTAGACAGCAGACAGTCATGGTTACACCTTCTGCAGGCTGTTTGTTCATAATTACTATGGTCACAGAACCAGAACGTATCAGGATACAATCCCAGCCCTGGCATGGCCGGGAAAACTTGGGTATCATTTACATATATGTTGATTGACCAAATTGTAGACGGCTGAGGCAGAGTTTGTGTGCTCTAGTTTTTGGCTAAAAAGGGTATGGCAGTAAACATATAAAGAATTGAGAATACACGGTACACATTTTCTTTTGACGGATTAAGTTTTACATAAATTTGAGGTTAATGGAAACATGTTTTTGCCACTTTTACAGCCCAAAAAAGCTAGTGGCAACTTGGTTTTTAATTTAGGTTTTTTTGTGAGAAACAGCTTAGGCAAGTAAGATCTACAAATAGATTTCAGGAAAAGGAAAGTTTTCTTTAATGAAGTAATCTTGGTGCCTATTACTTTGAAATATCTCAAGGTTAGCTCTCAAATCATGACTGGTGGTTTTCTGTCGTGGCCTGTTGGTATTTGGTGGCCCGTTGCAGAAATACTGGTCCTTTAAATTGGGTGCAGCAAGCTGTGAAATTTGTTTCATTGCCGACATGTCTTGTCTGGAAAGCAAGGCCTTTTTTAATGCCTGCTTTGTTTACAATACTTTCTACTATTGTTGCTTAGCATAAGCATTCATGTGGACATGTACATGTACATGTCTTCCTTATATATCGGTTATGAAGATTTTGGGGGATAGAAGGACTCTTAATCACTGTTACATGTATTTGACGTGTAACTTGTTAAAATGTGATTGTGAAGAACATCTCATTGGATTCCTGCACGGTAATTCATTTTGCGTAGGCCCTTGTCATATAAAATTATGGTTCCTTGCAAAATTGCTCAAGAACTTTTGCTCATAAACTTGAGGAATACTAAATGTGCACAAAAAAATACTTCTTCTGCATAAGTTTTTGTGACATTTCTTTACACTAGATAAACCAGTACAAAACTTTGTTGTGTACAAGTTCCTTTTTTGTGAATCGCTTTGGAGTTGTGGGCGGCCGCCACCCATGGAGGCACTGCAAATTTCATGAACACAATTTCTGAATAGAGTCCAGAGATACTTCAGTCTTCAAACCCATGATGGGATTTCAGATTTCAGTCAGGGATTAAGGCTTTAATCCTGACGCCTCCTATTCATCGGAGGTGTAATTAATCTGAGTTTAAATCCATATCTAGATTAGTACCCCATCTTATGTCAGAATCATCTTGATTTTATAAAGCCAAATCCCATCCAAAGGTGACACTTTCAGAGAAAAAAAACTTGGTCATTCTATAAAAAAAAGCTTTTCTTGTTAATTTCGAAATCCATCAGAGGGGATAAACGTCTGTAGGCCCCTACCTGTCTGAAAGCCATGCCAAGTACCTGAAAATTGTCACATGTTGAGTCGTATTGAGAAATTCTGCAGTCTTCCTCGGGATGCCCAAAGCAGATCGGTTTATAGGATTAAGAACAGGGGTACATTCAATTAACCTGCTGGAGTGCATACAATTTCCACCATGAGGTGTGAAATGGCTGTTTTTGTGAGGCCAGGGAGGTTTTTTTTCCTTTGACAGGGCTTTGCTTGCTGAGTTAAAAGGGTCATGAAGGTTGATGAGTTGGTAAAAGTCTTGTGGTTGGAGGGCTGAAGAAAATGGAAGGTCACATGAAGAAAGTGATTTCTCCCATGGGATGAGCTGGGGAGGAAGAATGTTGCGTTTTTCTTCCTTTCTTGAAAAGAAGAGTGTGAGACCCAAGTGATCGTGTTGGGACTTGGGAGCAATTTGTACTTTAAGTTATTGCCCTTTGAAGGCTAGGAAGATTAAAGTTATAGCCTTTTTTTACTATTAATGCTGCACAAGTCACATGGTTGCCAAGCCGCTCTGTTTCATGTGATAATGTGGCCCAGTCTGTACTTAAACAGCTGGCCTTCACATATCTGAGCAAGCCCTCAAATAAGGGCCATCTTGTTCAGACACGTGCATATATAAAAGTACCCTACATATGTGCCTGTTGAATTTTCCTGCAATTTTTCAACGAAGGTCTTTGACTTCCGGCCATGCCAGGCTTACTGTTATTATTTTCTAGCTGAACCATCATTGAATGTTTATCCTATAAGCACAATATTGGCTAAGCATTTTTCTACTCACTGATAAGTGTACTTTGAACATTACTTTGCTTGTCCATTGACAGTTTGAGCCTCCTTGACATATTGTTTTTCACAGAAGATAAGCAGTTGCAAATGGTCATAAAATGAAGACCTGAATGACCTGCATGCCACATGGCAAACAGTTTTACGATCTCCCAAAGGGCCAATTATGGGTTTTTAACTCGGGACAGTGTATCATGCATTCATCATGGCTTCTTGCTTGCTAGCACATGTGTTAATCGCTATGTAATGAATTCCACAGGTACTTCTGAAGTCCTGGCAATTGTTTTATGAGTCTAGTCTGGACATGGTCCTGAATTGTCTACACCAGTCAACAATGCTAAAAAGTTAGTCTGTACACGTTGTACTTGTAAGTTTACTCTGCTAACAATTTAGATTGCTTGTTGTTATCAAGGGATCCTGAAATTCAAAGACAAAAGTTTCTTGGGAATGAGAATTACACAATGCTATAATTTCTGCATAGTGCTGGAAGTGTGAAATACATTTTTACATGTAAGTTAAACTGGGTTTTAAAATTCAGAAACGGTAAATGTTTTTACTCTTTTCCAACCTTCACCGTTTACTCGGTATTTTATTTAAAAAAATATCGTTGGTAAAGGGTAAAACCCAATATTGAATTTACATCACCCCGCCGCAAATTTCATATTTATTTTACGACTTGTGCTAGTACATGTAATAAACGCAAGGTAAAGTATTACAAATTTTACCCTGTTTTCCTTCAAGTTTACATACCTCTTGGCCCTTTTGCAAAATTCATAATTACCGGTACGTGTACCACTAAGCCTGACACAATTTCCTCAATATTTGTTTGCTTGCTCCACTTTCATAACAGTTTGGAATTCTGTCTGGCGTTCAGTATCAGAAATGCTTATCTCTCAAGAATGTACACGAACGGATACAAGTTTAGTTTCGGACAGTGGTTGACAATGGAAGCTGGCCATAGCACTGGATGAGAGTACTACACTGTTCACTGGATATGCACAGTTGTTGCCGAACAAAAATACTGATTGGTAGGCCTATCTCTCAGACTTTTTGTCTGTGTTGGTGGTTTTGAAAATTGCCTTCAAATATGTTTTTGTTTAAATAGTTGAGTAAATGAACGAAGTCACAATTGACGTTTCCGGGTACGCACTGAGGGTTGTTTTTTGATTACTGTGTAGTTTGCAAGTTGCATTTATGGCAAGTTTTGAGAACACAGCAACAAACTTATCATTTTTGTGTTTACTTGGCTTATTTTGAATTTGGTAAAGTACATGTACACTTTGCTTTAAGTTGGAAGGGAGGGGCTCCAACCTGAAAGTTTAGGGGTCATCCCCATGTCATTCATTAATAATTTATAGAAATTTCATTTACATGTAGTGCCAGAGATACTGGTACCATGTTTGAATACATTAATTAATACAGAATTGTAGTTATGGTACCTTAAAATTTCAAACTCTATACTCCATGAAAGTACAGGGGTGCATTTTGGCGGTCATAACCAAGAATTGGTTCGGGGGGTTCTTTTTGGTTAATTGTTTTGGGGATTTGAGTACTACATGATCATGTGTAATTCTAACCCAATTAAAATTGCCGAAGAAATTCACCGACAAGAAACCACCGAACCAATTCTTGGTTATGACCCCCAAAAGGCACGCCAGGTTGAGGTATCTAAATACTGCACTGTACCGGAACATGTACATGTACATCAAATATAGAAATACATGAAATGTAGAATAAAAAAACTGCAAGAACTTTGTCCAAAGTTAAAAAAAAAAAAAACCCAAAACACACCAAAAACAATGGGCATTACATGTTTGTACATGTGTATCCACATATTGTTTTATCATATAAAGGAGACGTGACTTTGCCTATTCACGAGTGTAACAACAAAACCATTTTATAGCCAATTTATTCATGAACTTTATAGCCAAAGCATGACTTTTCCTCCAAATTCTGCATTCCACGCGCTGCCTGTTGTCTTTCCATCTTGGCAACTCCAAAATAAATCTCTGAAAATCAAGATGCTAAAATCATTCAGTCCCCAAGCGGTGGCCCGAGACATGACTAAGCCAAGGTTGTACACCTTGCATGTTGGGATTAATAGGCTAATAATTGCAATATTTTGACATATTTTATCCCTGTGAAGGGCACCTGGGCGCCATACTTGCCTTGGATGAGGCAACCCCCATTGGGCTCAGGCAGATCTAGTCAGAGCAGGGTCTGTGTCCGTCTGTGTCCTTAATTAGGGATGTGTTGTGACACTCCACAGATGGGAACTATTTGGAAGCCCCAGGAGGCTCCCGACAAGTCTGAAAGCTCTGACAAATATTCTCTAAAAGAATCTCTTATCTTTCGAGTGAGAGGGTAAGGTGTTGTTTCATATTAATACACGAGACAAAATCTGCAAATGCTGTACAAGTGTGAGTCTTGGCCTGAGAAAGAATGCCCAAGAAACGGAAGTTAAAAGTTGCCTTTTAGGGGAACTTGCTAACCTTGATAATTGCCAACTTCACAACTCATTCATAGCTGATTTACTGTAGGGTTGTGTGGATACAGTTCACAGTTGCTACAAGTCATGTTTTCTGTCCAAACACTAAGCCTAGCCCTTGTTTAATTAACACCACATGGGGTCAAAAGCTCTACTGTTTCCTCCAGGGTGATAATTTTTCTTTTTCCTGAACAAAAGGAAATCTGACCACTTATTAAAAAACCAAAATCTCGCCCTTGTGGTGCTGCAAGGTGCTAATGTGAATTTGAGTGACTTTTAAGTGTCTCTTGCTGTGGCTGGCAGAGAGTGTGAATTGACGGTAATGAGGTGTTTTGTTTTAGGCAATTAATCACAGGGGAGACTGCTCAAGGATGAAGAGTTTTGTTTCAAAAAGTACAAATGAGTTTATGGTCTCTTTCTTTCGTAAGTGTACTTTTTAAACTTCCTTCCTGCATACCCTGGACAGAAAAGTGTAACAGACAAGGTACTTAAAAATTAAACAAAAAATATAAAGAGAAAAGTACACTTAATACTACGACTTCCCTGGGGCCAAGGGAAAACATGCGCTGCTACTAGTTGGAAAATTGATTTGAAAAACAGATCGTTTGTTGTACCGGCATACAAATGTACATGTACAACACGTCCTCTGTGATTTTAAAATAAAGTTGATTTATATAATAGAGTGTACTGTAAAAAAAAGAATCTTGAGATGAATCGGACTGTTACTGTCAGAGATTTCATTTGAAACTGCTACGATGCAAATTAAGCAAATGATAATTGTTATAATTTGCAGTGTAAATTCTGATCCCTCAATCAAAATAGATCCGCCTATTTTATTCAATTACTAACTGTTTCCTTCCAAGTTCGTCCAAGTTTCAGTGTGCTCTCCTCGAAAAACATTTCCTCAAACTTCAAAGTCAAAACAATTTTGAGAAACATCGAGGATTGAAGACAAAAAGTCCAATTATTCAATTTCCTAATTGTCAAGGTGTGTACATTGTACATGTGTACCTGGAAGTTGATGGCTGAGACGTTCCATGGATCATATTGTTCCCATTAGGGTCTCCTTGGTGCCATCTGAGAAAAAAATTCTAACTATTGAGTCTGAAGAATTTTTTCCTTTTGTGATATGAAGGGGTTAAAAATCATGTACCGGTACTTGTTCAGACATTTGGAAAACAAAAACTAGGAACCTTACAGTGTTTTGCAATGAATCCATCATAAGATTTGTCTCATTAAATTGTTTGTATTCATTGTAATTGCCGAATAGGGTAAATACTTTTACAAAACAAACTTGGCCACTTCCTGTAATTAATTGCCCCTGAACAAAAATCTGTATTTGTCAACTACCGGTTTGCATTTTGTCCTCGCAAGGCTCATCAATCAGTGCAGTCATCCAGATGCAAGATTCGTTTGAATTAGCAGAGGAGATTTTTTTTGAGTGAGATAATAAATGTCGCAGTACTGTCACTCACAATTTATTTATTCAAGTAAAGTTCATCTGGTAGGGCCTACTTGTTCTGGTGTTTTAATGAATTGCATTGCGTTTGACTACACTTATAGGATTGTACAAAACAGTAAACCCATGATATTGATAAAATAAGAGTGTTATAGTGGAGTACATTGCCATGCGTTCGAGTGTGAGTACGAGTAGTTTGCCGTGAGTATGAGTACGGGTACGAGTAGGATGAAGGAGTACGAAATTACGAGTAGTACTACAAGTACAACACAGTGAACCGTAACCCTGCTGAATCCAACGGGATCCAACTACATGAATGTCCCGATGGAACCTGTTGGATTGAGCAGTAAACCCCTTGTGTACATTCCTGATTCAAAATGTTGGATTCAGCAGGCAACTGAACCGCATAATAACACCATGTTGGACTCAGTTGGATTCAGCAGACAACTGAAAATGAGACACAGTGGATTGAACAGGAAAGTCCGGTTGGACTCTGTTGGATTTAGCTGGGTAGTCCTGAGGAAGTACTGGGGGGTTAGGGTTAATGAATTATTGCATTGCTTATGATCTGACCTGTACTTATACGTTGTACAAAACGGTAAACCTATGATATGATAATTTGATATTGATAAAATAAGACTCCAGAGTGTTGTAGTCGAGAACATTTCCATGGTTTCAAGTACGAGTATGAGTAGTTTGTCGTGAGTATGAGTACGAGTACTCATATGAGTAGGACGAAGGAGTAAGATTACAAGTACTACAACACTGTGAAATAATTATATTATCTGTTTCTGTCTTAAAAGTTATAGTGAGAGAAGTTGATCTCCATAAAGTTCAATTACACAGTGTGATAACAAAAAAATCTGACTTTTGCTCATGTAAATGTTAATGTGTACTCCATGATGTAGCGGTACTACACGGATAACAGTATTTGTGCTGTATGTACTTTCAGCATTTATGTCTGCATGCACATGTGTGCTGTATGTACTTTCAGCATTAAAGTCTGCATGCACGTAGGCGCCATAGGGAAACCCACAACAACAAGTAATTATATCTCGGGTCAATGCTAATCCCTTAGACGGCCCACTGTTAATTCTTGAGTAAGACACTGAATTCTTTGGTTTGGTAGCAGAATAGCCTGTCTGGGATATTGGTAGACATGTTGAGATTTCCCAAGATTATCAATTCAAAAGCAGCGGTGCAAAAATGATTTTTTTTTATTAAAGCGCATAGGAAGTTTGGCGTACAGTTCTTTTGAAAGTACAGCACTGCTCAGTTGCGAAAAAGGCCTTAGGTGTAAATTTACCCATTAACGCTTGCATAATGTTGAATTTTTTTTTTGATGTAAAAGCTAAACTTGTTTTTTATTTGTTTTTTACAAACCAAGTCCAGTAGCAGTACAAGAGTTCACATTTCAAAATCACTATTATTTCAGCATTGTGTTCATACAGTAACTACAAAATGTACATGGATTAGGGACAATGGAAGGCTAAGGTCCAAAATGTTCCTATGAATTCAGCACAATTTGATACACAATTCTGAAAAAGTGTTGTATTATCTGAGGAAGCAGTTCAAAACAGTCTGGTTAAATTGAAAAAGTAACGTTAAGAGACAAATTTGTTTTTGGCACTGCCGGTATATGCCTGGTTTACACACATGTACATGCCAAAATTGTGGACACAATTGAACATTGTTAAACAAATGCCAAACACAAGCTAAAACTACAGTTAGTTCAGAGTTCAAACTAAGTTTCAACATCTCTTGTAATAATTTGTACATGTTATGTACATGTGTACATGTATCATAATTCATACCACTTACAGTGTACTGTGAATATTTCAACGTCGCGTCTGCTGACTGGTTCACAAAATCTGATAACCATGGGGCTCAGCTAACAAGAAGAGTTCAAGTTCAATGAAGCACAGATGTTTTTTTCTGTGGTATTGATTTTCATCTGTCACCACTCCCAGCCCCCAGGAAACTATCCCTCAGATGCTCTGATAAACCGCCTGCTCACTGGGGACTCCGGATTAAAGTTCCAGTCCAATTTGTTTCCAAAGAAAAGCATTGTTTGATCTCAAAATGGCTACATTGTTAATGAAATGTTTGGATTATCTCTGATTGAGCTTTTGGAAGGCTAGTTGATAGCCTGTCTAATCCAGGGATTACTTAATCCTCTACTAGGTCCACAGGCAAATTTGAATACATTCACATCTGGTTACAATTTTAACTGGGGAAAATACAGGCCTTTGGGGAAAATAGAAGGTATTTGGTCAGTCTCCAAAAGTTTGTGGAGTTAATTACCTCCGCCAAGGCGGTTATGTTTTCATTGGATTTTGTTGGTTGGTTTGTCTGTTAACAAGATAAATCAAAAAGTTATGGATGGATTTGCATGAAAATATTTTGTAGGAGTGGTCCTTGGTACAAGTACAAATCGATTAGATTTTGGAAGTGATCCGGATCTGGGTCTGGATCCAGGATTTTTTTTAAAGGATTCTTCATTTACCGTACCGGTATTTCTTTTGGCAGCACTGACAATATGGCGTAGAATTGATTAGATTTGAAGGCGGTTTGACCTCTCTGAGTGCTTTCTAGTTGTCATATTTTTCAAAAAATATTCCCTGAATAGATTCACTGTACGTGTACCGTAGGTAAGGTACAGTGTAGGCTAGTTGTTTACTGCTGATCACAACTCTCTGTTAGGAATTGTCATGTTTTTATGCCTAATAATGTCATTCTGTTGGTAATTAGCTTCGTGTAAATTCTGATATTGAATGAAACGGAGAAGCCAGCGTCTAATTACGCAGCTGTGCACTAATCACATCTTGAACATCTTGTAAACTCCCTCAGGGATTTATACTTCCCTATAGAGCGTCATCGGTCTGGGAAAATCTGTCAAGAATCTACAAAGATTTGATCAATATTTCTGCTCTCATCATCATGTCGCGTACAAGCACACTGCCAATTACAAGTCGATAGTAGAGTGGCTGTGGTAGATATCATCAGAAAATCAGATTATTCCATGGTCCAGTATCCCCAAATACATGTATGATACACACTCTGATCTGTAAATGCATTTTGCCACAAAGAGACTTCAAAAAAATGCCCCAAAGTCTAGAATGCTATGGAAGGAGAAAGGACAACAAATACATTGCCCCTAGTGTACATATTGCCATTGCATTGGTAGTCATTATTACATGTAGTAGCAGTGCCAGAACGAACAAAGATGGCTGCCAATTTAGCATTGTGATCTGCGAGTGA